CTGGTGCGGGCGGCGCTCGCGCCACCCAGCATGTCGCTGCGCGACGTCGCGTCTTTCTGCAAAGACTTCTCCACGGTGGTCTGCTTCGAATGTTCTCTTTGTGTCGAAGTGCCCATGCCAGTTTCTTCCCGCATGATCCGGCGTGCTGCCGCTGTGGCCCGATGTATGACTAAGGCGCATGTTCCTTCCACCCTGGGCGCGCGGTGAGTCGAGCCCCGTGGCCCCAGCAACGATTTGGGGCACGAGTGCGGCACGTGCGCATTCATACACATAGATTTATACTTCAATGCACGCACACACGCGTGCATGTGGTTCAGCATGAGTGCGTGCATGCATGTGCACTTGTGCGCATACATGCATGGTGTGTTTATTATTTAGCGCACTTTCGACGCGTGCCGTAACGCCGTAGTTCCGCCCCCCTGTGCATTTAGTGGCCTCACCCCCCCCGTCCTGCACGCTCCTGCGCGTTCCCGTTCGGCTTCCTTTTCCGTCGATCCGGGCTTCAATTTTCCGTTTCATGTTCGCGCTTGACGCGTTTGGGGTCTTCCCCCAGTGACGTTGCTGAGCGTGGGGCTAGATGTCTTATGCAGCTACCTCTCCGCCGTTCCCCGTGCATCCTCTCCGTCCCCCCCCGCCCCTCTCCTCCGCCTCAGTGCAGGTTCTGGTCCACTGTTTTTGAGCGCGACATGTGCCCGATCTGTCAGATACGTTTTAAGTGGGAATTCGTCTCCGTCGGCCCGCGTGGGCAGATGCCTGCGACAGGCAGCAGGTCAGCGCTTTCCTATTCCTCGCCCTTCTCCTCCTCCCCGTCCTCCTCCTGTCGTCGGAGCTGTCGGGTTAAACTGCTAGATGCTTGCTGTCCGTCAGCGGAGCTGTCGGGTATAGACAGCTAGGTGCTTTTTGTCCCGTCATCGGAGTTGTCGGGTATAAACAGCTAGATGATTGCTTTCCGTCAGCGGGGCTGTCGGGCATAGGCAGCTAGGATTTTTTTTCCGTCAGCGGAGCTGTCGGGCATGAACAGCTCAGCTTTTGCAATCTGTCGGCGGCGCGGTCGGAGAGAGTGGGGCGCAAAAAAAAAAAAACTCACACACACATGCACGCGCACGCACACACACACACATGGTGTACTTATTCTCTACAACAACCATGGTGTGCTTATTCTCTGCCCGTGAGGGGAAACGTCATCGATCATATCCTGCGGATCATGCGATGGGTCGGGTTCCTTGGGCATATCATTCCTGCTGCGCACGCGTATCCCGTTTATCGCATTCCGCCCCTGTTCCCGCTATGATATGAGTTTCCGCCGCCGCGCCCGTCTAAAGGCGGAGAAGCCTGTGGCGAGCAGGGAAACAGTTCGTCGGGCGCAGGACGGCATGGTGGAAATCCTCAAGAACTTGAATAAGAAGGAGATCGCGCAAGCGATCGAGGACAACCCAGGCTTCCGACAGGCAACCGACGTTCAGTCGACCCCGATTGCAGATATCAGTTTTCATGGTTTGTCCAAGACGGTTTGTTTTGATCGTTCGGTTTTGATTTTGGGCAAAAGCGTTTTTGTCGTTTTTGGCGTTTGTCGACGGGTCGTCCTGAGCGTTCGCGCCTTGTCGCGTTAGGGGCCACGATTTTCTTGAGCCACACGCGCGACGAAGCTTCCTTGCGACTTCGGACGTACATCGGCTCGGACACCCCCGCGCGACTGGCGAGGGGCAGGTCGAGCAAGGTACAGAACAACGTGCTCACGGTGCACGTGGGGGGCCGATCGATCGACGCGTATCGTTTTGGCTGCATCGCCACGCCCGCTTTCAACGCGACTGTGCCCGGAATGTCGCGGGGCCAGGGCTGGCAAAAACCAGAGCAGGGCCCCCGCCTCTCCTCGCCACCGCCTGAAGAGTTTTTGCTGCGGGAAGTGTTGCCTGAGAAGCCTAGTGACTGGGCGATTGGGCACTGCAGGCTCGATCCGCCGTCGCTTTCACGAGGCGCGGCGGCCGAGTGAAACCCCGGCCAGAGGGGGTCTTGCCCCCCGCCCCCTCCGCCGCCAGTCCTACGCGCCCGCTCTGGGGGCCCTGCTCTCGCGGGCAGCGGGCCTGGAATTGCAGCCGTTGGCGCAGAAGGACAAGGATTCAAATGGCTGGCGCCTCGCCCGCCTATGGGCCCATGCCGATGCCCAGTTTTTGTTTTTGTTTTTTTGTGTTGTTTTTCTTTTTTTCTCATTCTTTCTTCGTTGGGCGCCGCGGAAGCCGCGACAATTTGCTTGATGCTGGCAACTCGTGCAGTTGTTTAATTGGGCGGTGGTTCCTCCCGTTGCGCCGCTTTCTCGCGCAGTTGAATTCGGCGCCGTTTTCAACCGTTTTACGCCTGGCGGCCCCGCGGCGGGGGGGTGGGCACAATCGCCGCGGCGTTGCGCGCGGTGGTCGACCACGTGCTGTCCTGCGTCGGGAGCGGCCCCGTGCGGGTGGTCCACCTGATCACGGGCGACGCGGCGGCCGCCAATTTGGCCGCCGTCAAGCGCTTGCTGTCTTCCTTTTCTTTTGCTGACAATGTCGACTACCGCGTGTGCCTCTGGAAGTGCGCCTCGCACCAGATCAATCTGATTGTCCAATTTGCCATCACGGGTGACAAGCTGCAGGACCCTGTGGGGGGCGACGCCATATGCGGCGCGTGCGTTCGCATATTCAAATATCTCACCCCCACGTATTACGAGGAATTCAGGATCGGGCTCAGACACCACGTGACCACGCGATTCCGCGCCGAGGCCTTGGACGAGGCCCAAGTGCGGGGGCACGCTGACCGCGCGCGTGCCCTCATGCACCTCTACGGCCCCGACGCGGTTCCTGACGAACTGCTCCTCATCTTGAACGCAACGTTCCACGAGTTGGTCCACCAGGACCCGCGGCCCTGTGACGTTGACTCGGCCGATTTGTGCAGCGCTCTCTGCGATGAGTTCGAGCGGCGGATCCTACGGTGCGAGGAGAGGCCCGTGACCACGAGGTTTTGGACGTTCACGGTCGCCGTTCAGACCTTGTTGTTGGTTCACATATTCCAGCTGGACCCGAAATCGATATGGAAGTTGACCCGCACGCGCCCACAGAAGGAGCAGATGGCACGGCTGAAGCGCGTATGCCAGTTCTGGGACAAGCCAAGTACGGGCGCGGAGCTTCGGGTCGCGGCTTTCTGTCTGCGCCTGACTTCTCACGGCCAGAACATGGTGTCGAAGACGACGCGGGGCATCCCTATCCTCGTCTACCTCGGCCAGGGGACCGTTCAGAAGGAAGCCGCCGTCACGCTCGAATCTCTGTTGGCCCACGTCTGCGACGACCCGCTGATGCCCGCGGACAAGGCCATCGTGGCGGTGCTAGCGACAATGGCCCACCTTGTCGGGAGGATGGACATGTTCAACTGCTACCCCACTGCCTTGTGGAAGTGCACCGAGCGGTGGAACCCACAGAACTGGATGACGGAGTGCTTGCTCTTCCTGCAGGCTCCGTTGCTCACGATTTCTCCTGCTTCGTCTCCATTCTCCTTCCCGCAGGGAGACGTCGGCATGCCCGTGATTCGCCGCCGCCGACGCGCTGGCAGGCTTGACGTTTTTTTTTTTTGCCTTTCAGATATTGATTCCGTTGCTCTCCTGGTTTGTTACTCGCGGATGCCCCCCCCTTGCCTTGCTTTTCGCCCTGCCAGCAAGGCCAGCGAGGATGACCTCGACGAGGGTTTCTCCTTGCCCCTGCAGAAGAGGGCCCTGCAGGAACCGTCTGAGCGAACCGCCACGAGTTACTTGCTCTCCGACGAAGTCCAGGGCGAAATCGAGGCCATGCTGGAGTACGGCAGTGCCACCTCGCTGGACGTGGAGAGGCATTTTTGTTGTTTTCTGCTGTGTGCGCGCGCCTCCTTCACGAGTGCGCCTCGGATAGGAGAAAAAAAAAAACCTCGCCCCCCCCTTCTCCCTTGCCCTCCTGGGAGGCGGCACGTCCAGACCAAGCGCTCCGAGAGGCACAGGCTGTGTTCTCTCGCGGCAGCTTCCAGGTGCCCGCGCGGGTTCCGAACCCCGGCCTTCCCATGCATCCCTCTGCCTCCTCATGCCTCCTGCTCCCCCCTGCCTGCCCCTACTCCCACTTCTGCCCCTTCGCCTCTCCCTCCAGAGCTCCTCAGAAGTCCCCCTCCTCCTCCTCCTCCTCCTCCTCCTCCTCCTCCTCCTCCTCCTCCTCCTCCTCCTCCTCCTCCTCCTCCTCCTCCCCCCCTTCCTCCTCGGAGCCTGATGCCGCTGAGCCTTTTGATAGCTCCGTTGAGCACGTCCTGCTAGCACATGTTCCGCCACTGCTCAGGATTACAGTCCGATCTGCCAAATACGTTTTCATTTGGGAATTCGTATCGGTCGGCACGTGCGGGCAGACGCCTCCGACAGGCAGCTTGTCAGCGCTGCTAGGTGCTTGCTTTCCGTCAGCGGAGCTGTCGGGCATAAACAGCTAGTTTATTCCCTTTCCAACGCCCGTCAGCGGAGCTGTCGGGTATCTTCGGTCACAGGCCGGACACTTTAGTGCAACTGCGGCCGGACACTTTAGTGCAACTTACATTTTGCATCTTCGTTCACACGCGGCCTCGTCGCCGCCGTCGTCTTGTGTATCTCTCACACTAGTGGTGCACTTCTCGTCCTCCTTTTCCTCCTCATCTTCCTCCTCCTCCTCCTCCCCCTCCTCCTCCTCCTCCTCCTCCTCCTCCTCCTCCTCCTCCTCCTCCTCCCCCCCCTCCTCTTCCTGCTCCGACCTTCCACTTTTCTGCCCTTTCGGGGTTGGGATCCCGCTGAGGGATGATATATTGAGACGATTTCGAGCTCGAGCGGCGGCGTGCAGGTCGGATACGGCGGCGACAAAACAGCGTGTCCGACAACAACACAACTCCCATCGCACGCTGACGTTGCGCAAGAACCCACATTTCGTGATTGTTGGGCCTGGGCGGCCACCCACCTTGTCCTTCAACGAACCCGCCATCCAGAAGTATATTGAGGATAATTACGCCGCTTTGACAGAGGAGCTGGGAGGGATGGCGTCCTACGCTTCCACAAAGCGGGTTCGTGGCCAGCCCCTGATCCCCTGC